CAGGAGGTAGCGGACCGGAAAGCTGGTGCCTGGCCCTGAGCAGCACGGATCAGCGCCCGTCCTCCTCCTCCAGGGGCTCTGCAGCTCTGGCACTTGTCCCAGGACAGGTCTAGGTCTCCAGCGCCTCCGTTGACAAAGGATTTCAAACGTGCATTCATGACTGGGCCGCGCTAACCAACTACCTGGAGTGGCAGGAAATCTCCAGGTGAACCCCGGGCTCGGGGTTGGACACACCAGCGCTCTGCACGGGCCGGCGGTCACAGTTACAGGGTAGCCACAGCACCGGCGCCCTGCGGGCCTAGGGACCTCTGGGGAGGAGGGAGGAGCAGGCCTGGAGTCAGGGGCCGGCACCACGCGGCCAGGCGGGGAGCTGCTCCAGGCAGCCAGCCCCCCAGGCGGAACAGGACGCTCAGGTGTGGCCGGCAGGTACTGCTGCTCAGTTTCATGTGGAACATGCCACAGTTGTCCCAACTCCTTCCAAATCCAGCAAACTAGGACTTTTCTATAATAGGGAAACATTATGGATCTTGGGTAATAAAACTAGAGCGCGGAAGATAGACATTCGCAATGCGACATTCTAAGCTTCTGTGTATCATCACCAGCATGAAGGAAACATTTTGCTGGAAAGCACCCGGTTGGCCAGAGCGGGCACTGACTGACTGTGCCCAGCCCATCCTGCCCACACCAGGCTCCTGACGTGTCCATGGCAGTGAGAGGAGCGTGGTCACAGCGAAGGCTCCCGCCCACCGTACAAGCTGCAGAACCGCAGGACAAGCAGATTTTAGCAGAAGCTGAAGTTGTCAGGGAAACAAGACTATGACCAGATATTGGCTAATTCAAGAAGGCTGACCTTCGTTTTAAATGAATCTCAGCAGCCCGCTTGCCTAAGGGTTTCTAGTGCGTGTCTCAGTGAATGGTCTCAGGGAAGGTGACGGGAGCTTTTCACTCACGGCTCCTGGAGACCTGACAGCCCTCACGGGTGGCTGGTGCGGGGAAGCACTGTGGGGGCTCCTGCCAGGTAAGGGCTGGCCCGGGGTGTGGGGGCTCCCCGCAGGTAAGGGCTGGCCCGGGGTGTGGGGGCTCCCCGCAGGTAAGAGCTGGCCTGGGGTGTGGGGGCTCCTGCCAGGTAAGGGCTGGCCCAGGGTGTGGGGGCTCCCCACAAGTAAGGGCTTAAGGGCTGGCCTGGAGGCCAGCAGAGGGCTGTGCTCTCTCCAAGCAACAGAGCTATTTGCTAAAACTACAAACATTCTAACCCTGGGCCCAGGGACCAGAGAACACAGAAGCGGCCCTCTGTTTGGGGGTGGACGGCACTTGGCCGACAGCACGGGGCCTGCAGCTCACACAATATCACACTCGGGGACGTTCCCTCCAGCGTCAGGCCCCTGGCTGTACAGGTGAGGCTGACGAGGCCACACTAAGGGGCCCGCTGAAGCTCCGCCCTTGCCGAGCAGTTCCGTGGGGCGAGACTGTCTGGCTGGGGGGTTGCCGGGCTGGCTTCGGCTTCCCCGCTGCCCGCGCCCTCCGGAGGGGAACCAACCGCAGTCACTAGTCCCTCTGCAGGGGAAGACGCACAGGGCTGAGTCCCGCACCGAGCTCTCGGTCAGCAGGAGACCGTGTCAGGTCCCACCTGTGTGAGCCTCATGGCGGACACCCCGCTGGAGTGAGGAGCCCTGCGCCCTGTGCCTCCAGGTGCAGGTGCAGCAGCCCTGGCGGCTCGGCGGGCAGGTTAGCGTCAGGCACACCCATTTCTGGGCTCCTGTGCCTGAGCCAGTCCCGAGAGGGACAGTCACACCGCGGGCGGCCCTTACCCCCGAGCGTCTCGTCCTTGTCCTGGCAGGTCCGGCACAGCAGCACCACCTCAATCCAGTACGTGAAGAGCAGCGCGCCTGCTGCCAGCGCGCCCGCCAGGGCGGCCACGGTGCCCAGGAGGACGTACAGGAACACCACTGGGGACGGGAGGGGCAGGAACAGAAGGTAGGAAACCAGCTACAGGGTAAGAACTATGACTCCTGCCCTGTTAACCTGTTAACCGGGGCGGTTCTGTTCTGCTCAGAGAAGCTCCTGGCTGGGAGCTGCACGCCTGGGGCACGGAGCTCACATGGGATCGCAGTCCGTCCTCTTCCGAGAACTGCGTGTCATTATGGAAAGATTTACCACCTCCTGGCACCTGGGCCCGAGGCCCTTTGTCCCAGAGGCACCTGCTCTTTGCAACCCCAGCCCCTGTTACCTGTAATCTGGTCCCAGGGCGACCAGAGGCACCCACCCTCCGTGACCGACCCCCCTCAGCCCGCATGGCTTGTAACCTGTAAGATTATCCCGTGTCCACTCCCCCATGCCTGCAATTCCTACTTCCCCACAGAACCTTGTCCTTCTACCCAATGTAAGCCGCCGGCTTATGGGGCAGAGCAGGTGTTTGTGGGTGACCTGCTGCTCTCCCTGCTGCCAGCAGGATTGGAATAAACGCTCAGCTAGGATTCCCCCCTGTCTCTGCAATTGGCTCAAGTAGTGACCGGCCGCCGGACCCCTTGGTTGTCTGGTTACAGGGACACAGCGCCGTGAGCCAGTGCAGAGCGCCTGCCGCTGCGCCCACCCACAGCGTCTCCACCCTGTTATCCCAGCAGCATGGCCGCCGCGGGAGCTTCCTCTTGAAGGTTGAGATGAGTCAGCCACACCTGGAGGGAGGTCCTACACTGAGTGGGGAGAACTGGGGAGGGGCAGGTGCTGGGCAGGGCGCCTGGGAAGTGGTGGGAGCCACTGTTACTTATTTTCCCCAGGAACTGCCCCGTGCTCTGCACCCTCTCACTGCAAACCAGTTTCAGGTACAGTCATCCCCACTGAAGCCTACGCTCCCTGCGGCCAGGAGGTGTGTCTGGCGTACCCTCCGTGCACCTAGCGTAGGAGACACCCCTTTATAGAGTGCCCATGGGCCAGAGCCAAAGGCTGTCTTATTGAAATCTCGTGAGCAGCCACAGTCTGCTGTTCTGGAATCATTATTAACTGAATGAATGAATGATATCACTTTCATCTCTGAGCTTCGTCTCAAAAGAATTAAGAGCAATTTCTCACTGGAATACCCCTCCAGCTTTAAAGGGCTGTGATCTGTGACATACACATATCCTCCCAGACGCTGAGCAGAGCACTTTCTCTCACCTCCAGGCTCCAATACCTGACCATCACGTTTTCTGGATTCAGAGCCAGGAAAGGAAAATGAGAGAGGGACCAAGGTTCTAGCACGAGGCCTTCGCATGGAGCTCACATAGGTGTTTGTGGAATGAGTGGGAGAATGAATGATGGGCTTTTCCGACACAGCCCCAATACGCCCAGTATTGGTTAAGGGGACCAGGTCTGGATCACTGATAGGAAACTTACTAGTGTGTGGTCTTGGTCAGAGTTTTGAGTTAAGCAGCGAAGTGCACAGAAGGCTGTCTGCCAGCGTCGTCTCGCTGCTCTCACCACAGCACTATTGCTAGGAAAAGCCTGGCCCGCGGGGAGGCAGCTGTCCCCGGCCTACCTCCTTTCCTCCCCCTCAGCTGGAGGGGCTGCGTGCTGTTCCCCAGCGAGTTCTGGGCGAAGCAGATGAATGTCTTGTGCAGGTCACTCTGGGCGACTCTCTCCAAGTGGACGGTGCGCTGGATGACTTCCGCCTCCACAGTGGCTTTCACTCTAGGAAAGGAGGAGACATCACAGCCGCCCAGGACATACAACGACACCCATTCGCCGTCTCGGGACCATGCGATCGCCAGCATCAGCCTCTGCAGAGCTGGGGCAACCAGCAGGAGGTGCCCAGCTTCATGTGGTCAGGAGGCTCGGGTTTAAATGATGAATCTGCTAAGCATCATTCAAAGCGCTGACTCTCGGGTATGATTCACCTGTGGGCCTCAGCTGGCCTTGCTCACTCTAAGCCTGTCCCTGAAAAGATGCTAACAAGAATTTATGAACATCTACGACTTCCGTGGACGGCTTACTCTGTATTAGGCCGTCTTAGCACAAAAGGGGGTTACGGATCCCTCCACTCTGCATCTCACAGGAAGCCCACAGGTGCGGCATGAGTGTCCTAACTTGGCTAGCAATGCAGATCAGGCACAGAGGGCGAGCCCACGTTCACGCTGCCGGACGTGGGACCTGATTCCTGGCCTGTGCCCTTGCCCATCCAGGACCAGCCAGGAATGGGGGTCTTTATTTCCTCACAATGTGGATTCTCTAAAGTTGCCAATCTTGCCTCTGTCCTCACCCTAAGGAATCTTGTTTACACGGGTGATATTGTAGGCGGTGTGGCTTGGAGACGTCAACACCGACGCTTCCCCACAGAGTGCTTCTTGCTGCCGGAGACTGCTGAGGTCTCACCTGCTCGTCCGCCCCTCACAGGGGCTGGCAGGGGCTGTAGGGGGCACCGTGGCGCTCCCACACTCACATTGCCGATGGGTGGGAAACACCCACACAGAGGGCGTGTGAGGTCAGAGCACACCCTCTCTCATACTCAACTCCCTTGAGCTTAGATGCAGTATCAGCTTAATAGGGGACCCAATGACTTTCCTGTGTTAGAAGTTCTTGCTAAATCTGATTACTGCTCCAAAAACCTGTCCTTCGTTATATTTGTTTATTGAAATGTTTTACAAATCAGAGGCGTGCTAACCCACAGACTGGTACTGTGGAACAGATCTTAGAAAGATGAGGAACTATATCTTTTAGCGCCAAGCCCTGCAGATTGGCCCCAAGCCCTCAATCTCCAGGGCCCCGTGTCCAGCTCTGTGAGGAGCTGGATAGATCTGAATGGCTAGAGATTTCCATTTTATGAAGCAAAATTGTCTTCCCAGTTCATTCTGGCCACTAATTCAGGTCTGTGCTCTTGAGAGCAACGAAGTCTAGAAAACAGAGTAGCTTCCAAGCATTTCAAGACAGACCGCCGCTCAGCCTCCCTTCCCAGGCTGCACTGCTGCCCTGTCCTCACTTCACGTAAGTTTTGGTCAGATCCCTCGGTCTGCAGCGTTTCCTCGTTTCATACTTTCTGGCTGTAATGACTCTGGAGACCTGGGTACGCTGAGTGGGCACCGGGGAACGGGGGGCTGGGGGACAGCATCCTCCCATTTGTCGGACACGCTGCTTCTGTTCCAGCAGCCTGGGCCACTGTCTGTCCCCTTGTCTGCTTGATGTTTAAAGCAGCCGAGCAAACTGTTGCTAAACATTGAACTTGAAAGCCACTTAAATACTTCACTCCATGGCCCTGCCCGAAGCCGCATTTGGCCCAGGGTTAAAGTTAATGTGCACTTTGACTTTCATTTTCACCACTAGCTGGCGCTCCTGGCACACTGTTAAGTGTGTGTGTGTGTGTGTGTGCGCTCATGCGTGGGTGCGCATGTGTGTGTGCATGCGTCTGTGCGTGTGTGTGCATGTGTGTATGTGCGTGTGTGTGCGTGTGCGTGTGTGTGCTCATGCGTGCGTGCGCATGTGTGTGCATGCGTCTGTGCGTGTGTGTGCATGTGTGTATGTGCGTGTGTGTATGTGTATACCTCCGTGTGCACAGTGCAGAGATTTCCGAAGGTGAGAGCACGCATTGTGGGCTGCAAAGAATATCGTCCTCTGACTTTCTCCTCACCTTCTCCCTTCCTTTGTTGGGATTTCCAGCTCCCGACCAGAATCTTTGCTGAACCATCTTAGCACCGGTTTGAAGTGCTCTTCAAAGCCAAATCGTGCCGTGCAGTTAAGAGTCAAAGGTTTTCCTGCAAAGGAAGGGGCCACAGTAGATAGGAGGGCAGCCGTGAGGACACTGTCCGGCGCAGCAAGAGGCCTGCGGACATGGCTCCCTGCCCTCAGGCCGCAGGCGCAGCGGGGGCGGGAAGAGCCGCCCGCCCACCTCTCGGCAGAAACATGCACCCAGCTGCGCGTCTGCAGTGGCAATGCTGAGATCGCAAACATGGGCTATGATTTTTGTTGTTTGTTGTTATTTTTATGAAAGAATGTTTCTATCAATTAAAAGATTTTGTATTATAAATGTGTAATAAAGTATCAGCTATTTTTTAAAAATTTTTATTAAGGTATTACAAATGTGTCTTTATCCCCCATTGTTCCCTCATCCCCCCAGTCTTGCCCTCACCCTCACCCCCTGTTGTCTGCGCCCATTGCTTATGCTTAT